CTAAAATGAAGTGGCAATAATCAACAAATGTTAAGATTTACAGATAAATTAGTAAAACCAGGAAATAAGATCAGTGGAAGTTGTACTTATTAAGAATGTCCAGAAGTTCACACACACTCTCCTTGTAACAAAGAATATCATTATGGAAATACAACTATAAAAAGCAGGAAAAGAAAGTATATTTTGAAATTTTAATTATCATATTTATATATGATCATCTAATTATAGGCTTTAACTAACAACACTAAATTTATTAATAATAATACTAACATTCATATTTTCAGTTTGTAGGATTTGGATAGGAAACAAAAGAGCAAGGATTAGTTATATTTTTCTTTTTACAAATTTAAAATAAAGATTTTTTATATAGTAGTGTAGATATAATAAAATGTTTCTCATTATATAATTTATTAAAAAAATTTTTTTTGAGTACCAATAAGACTTTTTATTCATTGTATTTTCCCAGGGAAAGGAGAAGGGAAAGAAAAGTCAGCACACGTGTTACAAAATGATTAGAAAATAGGAAAGGAAGCATACTAGGTTATAGCAAAATCTACTGTCCAATAGATACCAGTGATGGGGTCACCAGAGCCCAGTTAATTTACTTCTTATAAGAAGCCTGAGGGATGCAGAAGATGTTTTTATCCCTGGATTTATGATAAGAAAACTGAGTCATCATGGCTTAAATGACTTCACTGCTAGTAAAAGTAATAGAGATTTAATTCTTTCTCACTTATATTTAGAGAAGATACACTACTCCAAAAAATTCATAATAATCATTAGCGCTACATATAACAAGCCCCTAGAATTACCAGAGAATTACTATGAAAATACAAAATTAAATGTTTTTTTAGTTTCTTTCTACTAGTAGGTGTAGCACAAGTATCAGCTGAAAATGCACACAAATGATGGGTTCGTATTACACAATCTGCTACTCCAAATTATCCAAGAAGCTTTAAGACTATTATCTGCTTCTAAGTTTACTGGCAAATTAAACTGCTAGATATAGCATAAAAGACCAAATAATACAAGGTTTGCCAAAATACTCAGATTATTTAGTCTTGGACCAAAATAAAATGCTTTATAAAAGCCAGATATGTAGCCATTTAGCCCAATCAAGAAATCTTTCCTGAATAGGTCCATGAGAGTATTCAGTTCAACTGATGCATGAAGTTATAGAGCCAAGGTCAAATAACACTTTCCAACTTCTTTTCATGTGAGGATCTTACTATACAAATACACATGAGAACTTCTGGATCTGTTCCCAGAGTTCATGTAGTGCTAACCTTGGAATATCTGTCAACTGGGAAGACAGGCTAAATCCTGAAATATGCTGAAAGATGCTTAAAAGCATACTTTATTTCTATAATATTATGTTGTGAGATTGCTCATGGTATCATTTATAGTCACAGGGAAAGAAGTACTACCAGATATAAAATCTGCATAGCAACTTTGGATTTTCAAATATAAGGTAGAGTTATTGAAATTCACAAATCTTTCATCATGAACAATTTTGTACCATAATATCAGTAATTCTTGCCAATTTAAAAAGATCAAAGTAAGTTTAGAGAAAAATATGATTGGAAGAAAAAGACAATCCATAATGCGTATCTTAAATAGGTTCTAAGAAAGAATTTGGTTCAGCCTTCTAACAAGATAGTGATAATAAACCACGGCTTTTAATAGCACTCTAAAAATATCAGAATCAAAATAAAATGGTTCATTTAGTCTCCAGATCTCGGTTTCTAAACATAATACTCAAACAAAAGGAACCCACAGTTCCTTGCAGAAGTATTTGATTCCCTGTCTGGAGAAGGGAAAATGTAAGACTGTGTTGTGATACCAGAAAGCAAAAAAGTGCTCACAGGATGGCATGGGGGCGGGGGGCAAGAGGAAAGGAAATGAGCTCTCTTGAAAGAGCTGGATATAGCCAAAGCTGGAAATATCTGAACAAAATAAAAGAGAATTTAAGATTATAATACATGGAATAACATAAATATCCACCTTACTGAAATAAATAAAGGCTAGAAGAGAATGCACTTTCTCACAGCAGAATTCCAAGTAGCAAAAACAGTAAGAATCAGGGAAGAAATAATGTCACCAGTAGAACACCACAGTGAATAATAATGCCTACAGACAAGATCTACCATTACTAATGGATGATAAAATTAGTGGGGAATAGCTCGAAGAAAACAGGATATTTGTGTATCTACAAGTGTCTGTCCCTGAATACTTCCGAATCTCAAAGACAGAAAGAGTAACTGTATAGTATAACAACAAGACAGACACGCTTTAACCAACCAAAGCTGTATCACTAATAGTAAGATAATAGTCATACTACTCCTAACACAACATGCTGGTAAGAGATACTGTTGTCGAGGTAATCTTGCCAAAAAAATGCATAATTTTAATCCAGTCATGAGAAACTCAAATTGTGAGACATCCTACAAAATATATAGCCAGGACTTTTCAAAGTGTAAAGGTCATAAAAGATAAGGAAAGACAAAAATAGTCACAGATAAGGGACACTAAGGAGACATGATCATTAAATGCAACATAGAATCCTGTATAGCAGGATAAAAAAGAAAAAAGAGTAACAGGAGAAAATGATGAAATTCTAATAAGGTCTGTAGTTAGTAAACAGTATATATACCAACACTAAGAGCTTGATCACTGTATCTTGGTATAAAAGATCTTGATGTTAAAGGTACATGGGAAATCAGAATTATTTTTTGCAACTTCTGCATGTCTAAAATTATTTCCAAAATCAAATAATAAAAAGGGAAAAAAATGGTCCATTTTGAGATTAGGAAATAAAGTGAAAGCAATCAAACAATCTCATTTTTTTTTTGAAACTAGTTTTAACCGTTATTCATATTCAGGTTAAATCCAGAAAAATAATTATTAATATAGCTGCCTTTCTAATGATGATATAATTTTTTATTTTTATTTTTTTTTTTTGAGACAAGGTCTCCCTGTATAATTCAGGCTGGCCTTGAACTGACTATGTAGTCCAGGCTAGCTTTAAATTTGTGACAGTCTTCTTGCTTCAGCCTACCACATTCCTGCTGGGATCATAGGCATGTGCCACCATGCCTGGCTACATAAAAATTTTTTTAACACGATCAACTTCCATTACAGAGATTAAAATAAGCGCTGATGCAATTTTCTCTTTTGTGTTAAGAAATCAGTCTTTTAAGACTCAAACTTCTCTTTACTTATTCATATTTTAATATTTCAAAGGCAGATAAACATAGTCAAATGCCAAATCTGACATTTAATGTTAATGTCAAATGTTAATGTCAAATCTAATCTAGCACCATACAGTGCTATTATAGTAATTATCAATTGCATTTCTCTTACTCCTTCTAGATCATGAACTACAGAGATAAGAGCTATCCATCAATTACCAGTTCATATACCTAGTCACGTTAGGTCTTGAGACTGTACTTGGGGATATTCATAACTAGGTAAAAAATTAATAAAATAAAAGATCATAAATAAAGGACCTTCCTATGTGAATGGAATGATTCATGTATTTAACATGCTTTTAATTATAAGAAAAAAATCCCCTGGATTTTTTTTGGGAAAATTATGTATAAATTTAGACATAAAGTAACTTGCAGTATTTCTTCTTTTAATCTCATAATCCAGCTTGTTTCTGTTCTGGGTTATATTTTATATAGGACATAATCTAATTCTTAATACATTTGTTCTTTCTTTTAAATTCAGCTCCTAATTTGTGCCATTATGGGTAAGTCAACCTTTTAGCAATTACCTTCATTCAAATATATATTTCATTGACTTTCAATTATTCATTAAGTACCTGCCTTTACTAAAATAGTCACTGGGGATACAGCATAAATAATGTAAGAAAGATAAATTAAAAAAATACTCTACAAACTATAATTCTTTAAATAGTTATGGCATACTGCTTGTGCTATTTAGAGCAATAATAATATATTGGTCAAATATTACATTACTATTCTATATCAGAAAATGTGTTCTTTAAAATTGGATGCTGCCTATTTTTTAATGTATTTCAGTGACTGTCTCAATGACTGTCACAGTAGATAAAAATACTTCTAGCTTGCCAGAAGTATGAGGATACAGAAGATATATGTATAAAGCAAATTTGTTAAGTCTAATGTAGCATATCTTATCAGAAGCAAATGAATAAAATTTCCAATTATGTTACATTGTAATCTATTATTACAAAAAGAGAATAAATTTAAGCATTCCAAATTGTAATTTTGGAAAGTGAACACCACATGGTTTATAGTTAAAGAGTCTTAAAAATTAAAAACTTTAAGTGAGAATGAAATAGCTTTTCCTGGAGGTTATTTTAGCTTAATGAAAATCACAGTGAGAATGTAATAACCATGGATTGCAAACATATGCAAATAAAAAAATTAAAAATTTTAAAAAACTACAGTGAATCACAAAACATATTTAACATGTATAAACAAGTATAAACAGCAAGATCAATTTTGTCAATATTTTAGATTTTCTATGTTTTAACATATGAATAAAAAAACCAAAAATAAGGGCAGGTATCTATTACTATTCAAAACAACACACAAATATTTATATAGCCTCAATCAAACATAGATCATGAATATTTTTAAATGTTGTAAAGAGTATGAAATATTTAAAAAAGACAGAACATTCCAATCTTGTGTGTTTTTAGTCCAGTTATGCTATAAGCTATGACAACGTTAGGTTTTGCCTGATCTTGAGTAGTGTTATTTTCCATTAGCTTACTTAAGAGCAACAGTTAATCATGCTTGCATTGAGTTTATTTCTTAGAAAAATGCCCTGTGTGGAAATTTATTTTACTGGCCATCCCAAGCAAGTTTGAAAAAGACAAAAACAAACAAACAAAAATCTCAAGGACTGCAGAGACAAGAAGGAAAGGAGGAGGAGACAGGAGAGATGGGGGCAGGGGAAAGAAATACAGGAGTATCAAGAGGAAATGTAAGCCTGAAAAATGCCCTTACCTTCATTTCTTTTCTCTGCATTTGCTGCATTTTCTAATTTTTTTTGTTTCGCTGCTAAGAGTTCCCGCTTTAATTGTCTTGCTTCTTTTCTGAGCTCTTCACTATAAAGCAAGGAATAGTGAGGTAAGTATATAACATACTGACAGTAAAAGTTGTTCAGCAAAGAATTATTGACTTTCAGGCAAAACTGATCTAAGAAAAATAAAGTAAATCATATAATTCATTCATCTTGTTTCAGTCTACATGTAATGTGCTATGGAAACATAGGTAAAGGATATCTTAAAAGCTGTAACTTTTCACAGTAGCATTGTGAGTTAATATATAAAAATTTACCATTTTAGGTATAGCAAACATAAGAAGTGATAAATGACCCCCTGTTTTCTTAATTCAGTACAAATTTAACATTCAGGTTTTAATTAATAGTTAATGGGAACCTGGAGTGAAAACAAAAATTTTAATGTAATTACTATTTATTGAACCTGGATATATAAAACACCGAACTAAAAACTTGTTGAATGCCCAAAGTGGCACAATTAATAACCATTTATTAAGCAATTATTATATGCTAGGTGCACTACTAAAACTTTTAAAACTCATTTGCTTATTCAAACTTGCTTTAAACTCACCTAATATTACAATTTGGCATGTAATTTTGTTTTCTGTGGAACATACTAAGTCAAGATATTCTGATGATTACTATACTGCATCATGTGTTAAAGGCAAAAATGAGACATCAATGTTGATCTCATGTAAGTGACTTTTAAGGGCAAGAGATTCAAATTAATTTCTTAGAAAAAAATTATCCAGTACTCTGGTCATGAACCCTGCTATGGTTTAGACACGGTTTCCGTGCACCCATCATTATTTCTTCAGGGTCCATGTATTGGAAGCTTAGTCCCCAGGGTTACGGGGCTGCGAAGTGATTAAGAGAAGGTGCCTGGTGGGAGGTCCTTATATCCATTGGACAGTGTGACTTTGGAAGGGACTGTGGTGCCTCAGCCTCTCCCTGGCTTCTTCTTTCAAGATGTAATCTCTCCCTCTCCTGTACCCCTACCATGCGCATCTGTCAGGAGGTCACACAGCCAAGGTAGAGGAAACAGTATGTCAGTCCTGCTTATGCTGTCTGGACTTTCAGCATACAACACTGTGAGCAAAATCAATCTACTTTTCACTCTGTCTCTGTCTCTGTCTGTCTGTCTCTGTCTCTTTGTCTCTCTGTCTATCTGTCTGCCTGTCTGTCTCTCTCTGTTAACCTATCTCAGATATTTCATTATAGCAACAAAGAACTGATTCTTATGCATACAAACCCTCAGGGTCACTTGTGACTAGTGAAAGCTATGCATATTTTATCATTGTTAAGTAAACTTTTCTACTTGTACTGTGAAAGTTACACTTGATCAAAGATACTCAGAGAAGATTAAATGCTCAAGCAGGTGTCCTATCTTCGAAATGATCGCCAAAGTTATCCAAGTCAAGGTTTAGTGGAATCTTAAGTCTTGATGTTTCCATACTGATAGTTTCATACTTTAGTGTTTCCTCCTGACCTGAATCTCAAACTTTTTGTTAGCATTCATTGTGTTGTGTTAGATTTACCAAACTGATAGGCCTTATAATGAAAATGACTCAATTCTTTCTATCCACCTAGTTCTTTCTGTACGTATCTATATATCAGATACGTATAGCCACATTCTGTGTCTAATTGGCCTTTAAGATCTTGAATTCTGAAAACACTCCCTCTGATCAAAATCTACTTTTTTGCTTTGTCAGTCTTTCATTCCTACTGAATTTAAAATTATGAAAGTCAACTCCTTAACTGTAGTTCATGGTCCATAAGTTCTACTGTAATCCTCACTGGCTTTATATCCATTCTGGATGTTATTATAGTTAGCCATTTCATTAATGTCTTTATTAGCATTCTAAATTTTTTTTGACTTGTTTTATCCTGTGGATACATCATAGTAACTTAAAAGAAACTGTGGATATGGTTCATGTGTCATTACCTTACCCCACCCCAACATGAGACTTGTTCCAGGAGATAAGCCTTCAGAGAAAAGAGCAACTGTAGATGTGAGATGTTGCCTGGGGATTTGCCCTTGTAACAAGTTCCCTGATGATTCCAGTATACTTTCTGCTTAGGATTTTAGTATGGAAAGTATCTTCTCTCTTTTATACAATTGCAGGCACTCCTATTTCACTGATCCTTTTATTCAGCAGACAAACATGTTTAAAATTTCCTGGACTCTATTTGAATCAAGTGATTATTATCTTCACAAATGGATTCCATTCCTGAAAGAATAGTTTATATATACAGTTTACTTCATAATCTCTTGCAATCTATCCCTCTTACATTCTACGGAAACTGCTTCTCTATCAACCACATTCAATGGCCTTTTCTCAGTTCTCTTCAGCCTATCATTCAATGTTAACTATTCCTTCCTTTTAAAAATTTTATCTTAATCAGACTTATATAGTGCTTTGAAGTAATGATTTTCCAATTATTTTTCTCCTGGTTACTCTTTCTCTTCCAATCTTAAAATTGTTGACTTTTTTTTTTTCACCTCTCTCCTCTGTATACTGCCATTTTTGCCTAATTTTACAACCTGAACTATCACTCCTTATATGGATTATTTCTAAATTTAGACATTTTGCTTTGACTTTTGTCCTGCATTTCTAACTATCTGTTATAAATCTCAATATAGATTTGTGCTATCCAACAGAAATACAAGGAAAGACATATAAGTAGTTTAAAGTTTCGTTGCAGCTACATTTTTTAAAGAAGCAAAAGGAAAAGCTTACATTATATCCAAAATATTATTATTTCAATATGCAATAATATAAAAATATTAATGTGATATTTTACATTCTTTTTTGTACTAAGCCTTCAAAATCTGGTATTTTATACTTACAGCAAACATCAATTCAGACCAGCCACATTTCAAGGATTCTGATCTAGATAGACAGCAGGCCAGGGGTCTCAACATAATTACAAACTTTCTGTTTCCAAACCTGAAGTCATTACCTTCTTGCTCAACTGTATTCCTTTTCCTAAAACAAATCTACTCCATTGTGAAACCATTATTTTTCTACTAAACCAGGTTTTAAACTCCTTTTCACTGAATCAACACTGGAGTACATTTTCCAGTCTCTCTCACATATAACAGCCCTTGTTGGCACCATCACTAAGCTAAGTTTAGGCTCTTATTATGCATGTCTCAGGTAAATGCAATTGCTTCCTAATTTTTGAAGCTATATGAACAAATCTCAATATTGGTCACCATGAAGAAAAAACACAGCCTTTTGGTCCTTTTACAGGAAACAACCACCACATCTTTGCTCCATTCATTAAAATTGCCAATCCTTTTTATGCTATTTTCCACATTTTAAAATTTGGCAATTCAGCAATTTAGATGTCTTTAAAGAAGATGTTACTCTGCAAGATGGAAAGGAAATGCTGCATTTTTAGGCTGCAAAAAAGTCTTGAAAGTAATTTGAAGTACATAAAGAATGAGCAAAGTTTATACTGGAAAACTTGGGACCTGCATGGATCAAGCAGAGGAGGGCTTGGTTGCTGAAATTAGTAGCATTACAAAGAAGCCAAGTTTATACTTTACATCAAGACAACAGGAAATATAGCTTGGGGGCATGTTAGGAAAAAAGCAAAATTCTTCCTTTTGCCCTGTAAAAATGGAAGAATTTGCTTTGAGAAAGAGTCCCAGGACACTCTACTGGAGATGGGCCACCCTGGGATTCAGTTCACCAGCCCAGTCATCCAGGGACTCACGGGGCTCTGGAACCACCAGCATGATGCCAAGCTACTACTCCAATTAGCGGCAGACCTTGGTGTCATCCACGTGGTTCTAGTTCTTATGCGCATGCAGAATGCAAGAATAGTGGGGTCAGGGAGGCTTGCATCCAAATTTCAGAAGGCTTGCCTGTAATACAGGCTGTGTACCCCTCAGAGGGCAGAATGTAAAGTCCTAAGAGCGAAGTAAAAAATGAAGTAGAAACCCCGGGAAGCTAGAGATCCCAGGAACATGGAACAACTGCTAAGGAAAGCTGTGAGGAGTGGGCAAAGCCAACCTAAGAGAGAAACCAAGAGGGTTACAACCACTGGTCATAGGGGTGGGGCCACCCATGCCCTTTGGAGTTCAAATCTCACAACAGCTTGCCATGGGTGCTGAACATGGAACTATTCATCATGAATAGTGATGAATAAAAACACACAAAAGACAAAGTCAGACAGAGAAGGGTACATCTATTAAGATTATTAATGATTGCTTCATGAATTTTTAAGTTATAAGGAACTTGCAATGGTCAAAATCTTTTAACTACTCAAACACCACCATTTGCTAGTATTTGTGGAATCTATAACTCTTGGAATGATGTGCAACTTTTAAAACTTAGTTTTAGATCATAACCTAGTTTAAGATTTCCCAATCTTATATTTTCTGGAGTATCCTCCTATCCACTGGCACTAGAATATATTTAAATCTGTTAGGATGACAATGAAAATTGTGAGGTTGGACTATATGTCACCATATACTGCCAACCCATGTGCTTGCTTTACAGTCAGAGAGTATCTATTTCACTCCATTAAAGCCTAGTTTCTCCTTGAATGATAAAGGGTTTTTATAAATTGTTATTAATCTAAGATAATTTTTTTTCTTAAAAGGTGTTTCTAATTTGAATTTTAATTTTTTTTATAAATCATCATTAACCATCAGATAATTCTGCTCCAATGGAAAAAAGATTTCCTCTTGTAAAAAAAATACTAGCAGACTATAAACTATAGTAGCCTTTACATATTTAGAAATGGCAAAGGAATTGCTAATTCACTAGAAAATCTGTAATATTTCTATGGTACCATTGTGGTGTACAGGCACAGAAATCAAGATGAATAAGAAGAGAGGGGAACCTGATCTTGTATCTTAAACCTTCTCTTCCACTTAATCTTCTCAATTATCTCTGATATAAGAATTTTATAGCTAAGAAGGCTGAGGTTAATCGACTTTGCCTGAAGTCAGGCAGTCAGTAAGTGATAGAGCTAGAAAATAAAAAATAAATGGAACTTTCCGAATGCTAAGTCTATCCTTTTTCCATG